GACAGGAAGTTGAATTAGCATCTGCCTCAGCCTGGGCTGTTCCCAAGAGTTAAGTACTGCTCGATCACATGCATAGGCCATTCCAAGGGTGAACTTCCAGACAAAGGCCTGGTGACGTGGCCCTGGGACCAATCACTCCAGCCCATGGGCAGCCTTCGTAATAAGGTTTTACTGGAACTCAGCCATTTTTATGTCCTCAGTGGCTGCTTGATTCACATCAGCAGAGCAGAGCCAGGGTGGCTGATCCCATATGGTTGTGAGGCCTAAGATATTTACAATATGGCCCTTCACAGAAAAGTTGCCAACCCTGCCCTAGACCTTCCATCTCAGACACTGCAACAGAGCATGAAAAATGTTCTCACAAGAGGGGGCAGCATGCTGAGAAGCAGGTCCAGGACACAGAGTGGGAAGCCTGGTTGGGGTCTCTGAGGAGACCACCCAAGTCCATGGAAGGAAGGATCTTCCACCTTCCCACAGGGCAAGCTGTGCAGGGGCCCAGCCTTGGGAAACTCTGCCCTCTTCCCTGACCCCTCCTCCCGGTGAAGCAAAGAAGGTGAAGTGGAGAGCTTTCAGGAGGCCAGCTCTCTCCCTCACCTGAACTTCTACACAGAAACAGGCGGGGACAAGGGCAAGATGACCGGAGACTGACCAGCAGTCAGTCTGCATTAGATAGAGAAAATAAGAAATTTTCATATAACAGCAACAGCAACAAAAAAGGAACAGGTAAGCCACAGGACCCCAAATAGTCAGGATAGACTTTATATCCAAGGTGAAGGAGCCTGTATGGAGGGCAGTGACCACGGACAGTTGTCCGCTTCAGGCTGAGTGTCTCTGTAGGATTTTACTCACAGATACCTAAGTGTTTCCAGGTGATTTCAGGCGTCCCTTGAAACCATTCATAGAACTAGAGGACAAATCCTGAGGGGGCCTTCCATGTCCTCATCTACAGCATATCTCTCAGTTCTCAAAGGAACCTTTTGTGTTCTGAGATTCCTAAAAAGCAAATGCATCTTATTACTCTGCTGTAGTTTGGAAGCTGCAGGGAATCTAGCACATGACCAAAGGGAAAATGCTCTGACAGTGGTGTTGCCTAGGTCCCCCCAACTCAATTTCACCTCCTGGTACTCAGCGAGGCCAGCAGCTGAGACCCAGAGCCAGGAAGATGAGTAGGACTGGGAGCTCAGCTCCAAAGAAGAGCCTGGTTCTGTGGGGAGGTAGTGGAGAGAGGTATGGGGGACCCAAGGCAGAAGACACCCTGAGCCAGTAAAGACAAGTCCAACTGGGCTTTCAAAGGAATGACATCTGCTGTCCTCTTCACCCAAAGTCTTTATTCCAGCACGATCTTAAATTATTTGATGCACCTGCATCATGAATAGGGAACCAAAAATCTGTCTACTACATGGGGGGAAATTAACTTGGTGGCCAGCATAAGATGACTCAGAGCACTAAATAACAAATGCTAAAGGAACATCCAGGGGTGATTATAAATGCCCAAGTTCCAAGGAATGGGAACGCATAATAAAGAGAAAGGGAGGAATAAGAATAAGTTAGATTCTGGAAGAAGATCGAGAGTCAGGGAATGCTTACACACAACAGTGCAGGAGGAGAGGGCGAGACTCTTGGAGAGC